AGCCTTAGAATGAAAGTTTCGTCTCTGAAGCTTGTTCTCATAGTTTCATTTTTCCTGGTGGATGCTCAGTATCTCAAAAACAATAACAATTCCTCATTGCTTCCTTTTTGGCAGCAGAAGGTAGTTTATTGCGATCTTCCGAGGTGAGGTAAGATAGATTCTTCTCTGGATTGTTGGTTGCTGCTAGTTAGGTATTTCCTTCATTTTTTGGAAGGAATTTTTTGAACTCACAGTTCTTTAGGAATTGTGAGTTAGATTTGGATCTTTCCTATATACTGAATGTCTTCTATTGCTCAGGAGAGGCATACAGGCACAACAGACTAGGAATATTCCATCTCTCTCTGGAGTAACTGTTGACTCAAAGCCTGGCAGTCATATGGGGAACAGTAAGATCTCTTTGTCTAGTTACCTTGTACGCTAAGTAGTAAGGAATCTAAAGAAAAATTCACAGAAAACATCTTTCTACCTCTAATCCAGGCCACGTAAAGTACTGTTCATACATTTGCCTAGAGATATCAAAGCATCTGAAAGTTAATGGTTCCTTAATGGTTCTGTTGCATACCTGGCAGGAGTCATTTAGGAACTGGAGTAACACAGTTTCTGACATCTCATGGATACTGAAGATTTGTCATTTCTCATGACCCCTTTAAGTTGGAGCAGGAAACCGTCTGCAAGGCCTTCTAATGTAAAGGAGAAAGTCTACCTCTCATCAGGACTGGATTATATGGGGAACTAGACCCCTGTCTTCAGATTACTTGGTTTCAATTCTGAATATTATGGGCTTCATAATCACTGGTGGGATGAAAACCGAGAATGTGAGGAGATAAACCCAAATTAGAAATGAATGAGCTCAGTTTGCCTGATTTTACCTTCACATCATCATCATCAGCAGCATCACAGGGATTCCCATCACTCTCAGTATATTCAATTACAGAAAAACTCTAAGGCAAACTTGAGGAACATTTTGTGAACCTTCCTGCAAATAAAAAAATAAGAAAACATGCAGGTTCCATTTACCTTAATATATCAGATTTATTTTTATATGATTAGGTTAGTGGTTTGGTCTAACTAGAGGTAATGAAGTGTTTTTGGAAGGAGAAGGACATTATGTGGGAGTTAATTTAATTCCTTCATGATTCTTAATTTTTGGCATCTATTATTGTAACCAATTCTTATAACCTTAAGGAGAGGATTTGTACAAGAGGTTTGTATCTGAAAATCATCCTCTAGATTTCTACTTATTAGCCATTTATTCTTATACTTAACATACTAATTTTTAAAACTTCATCCTTAAGATTTTTTCTTTAACCATGGCACCAAAGAAAAAGAGACTCAGCTGGGCTTTAGCTGTGAATTAGTGTTCAGGAACCCTGTTGTTTCCTCTCATCTCTATAGCTTTGGCATCCTGAATGTAAGAAAGAGAAAATGATACTTGTTCACTTCTGTAAAGCACTTTGAGATCTGCAGAAGCGAAGGAAAATACCATTATGCAAATGATCAAGCAAAAAAAAAAAGTAAAAAGGAATTTACCAATTTTTTTCCTTCATTCCATCAGGCTCCCTGTATGAATATTCTGTAATACTATTATAGGTTGTACAACGTGTAGTATTTAATCTTAAAACTAATTGAATAAAAGCACGAAAACTAGTACCTTTCTCACTGTGGTTATTAAAATCACAGTTACAAGATAGAGGCATAACTTCATGATCAAATTTGCTATGGAAAATAATTGTCTTCAGGTCTTCAAGAAGGGAGTCCATCTGCAGTTATGAAAAAGCAGTGTAAATTTACCCTGGTTAACTAGTTAGTAAGTCATATATTCTAAAGGCTTCCTGACACATGCAGCAGGCTGTATAATTTTAGAGTATATAGTATGTAAAAATACACTGCTGAATGTAGCAGCAGTGGTTCTAGTGTATTAAAATAGTTGACAGTGACATAAGGGAACAGAGTGTGCATAGATATAACAGTCATTCTGTTGGTGATTAGATAAGGTAACTGGGGGCCGTTCCTGCTGCTTTATCTCTCACACAACCAGTGGGTTTTTGCCATTCACACATGTAAGATTTTATTCTGCTTTTAAGATAGGACTAACTTAGCATATCTATATTAAGGACCATTCCAATATTTGAAAAAAATAGGACATACAAAATATCCCACATGCTCCTCCTCAACATTGTTATTTCTGGTCAGTGGGTTACAATTTTTGGATGCAATGGTGCTCTACACCCAAGTGTAGCTTATTTTGATTGATTTGTTTAGCTTACATTTTATGAACAATGCTATTTGCAGCCACGCTGTGCAGATGCAGTTACTTGTGATGGTTTCTATGAATGGATTTTAGGCAATTGAAGTGGATGGCAATGAAGGATGGAGAAGTTTTATGGACAGTAGAGAATCAACAACAATAGTATTAGGGTGTGACCGCTTATTTCAAAGTTAAGATAACAGTCACTAGGATATATCATTCTGCTGTTAGAAAAAGGTAACGAGGAAGCTTGACCCTTAGCACCTTGATGTTTTCTTTTTTCCCTGAGGCTAGAGACAAAAAGCAATTTTTTCCCCAAAACCTACCTCTGGACTGCAATCCAAAGTAGAGTGTAAGGAGAGCTAAGCACTTCACTTTTGCTGTAAGCAGTGCGGTGAGTCAGCAACTGCTGAGTGGCAGCCTAAAGGGAACGCTGAGGAAAGACATATTTTGTAAATCCGTCTTTTACCCATGGATTAAATATTTTATAATAGGCATTCTGAGATATAGCAGATACTGTTGTTGGGTACTCTTTTAGGGTCTCCTTGCCGATCTTATCACTTCTTTTTTAGTTTCAGTAAGTTTAATAACTTCGTTTTGGAACAGAAGTATTATATTTACAGTGACAAAATTAAATAAAGGTACTTATGGTATTCTGTCTATGAAGCTATGATTATTTTAAAGCTAACAGTAGTGGTTGTATTCTGATTCTAAGTTCTAAGATACCAAGCTGATGCTATTGTACCATGATTACATCAATTAAAATCACTTTAAACCTAATGGAGAGACCTGGTTATAATTTAGGAAATGGTTATGCACTTTACACAGTGGTTGTCTCATGTAAAATGCGCGAATAGTCATGTGGATAGGAACCACGTCTCCTTACTCTCAGGTAAGAGACCTGGTTGGAGGGATGCAGTTCACTTTGCCTTTCTTAATGTTCCTCTTCTGAACTTTGAAGCAGTTTGAGAATTTACAACCACCAGCATGCCAACGGTCATTGGTGGCCCAGGCCAGCCGAGGTCCAGGCTGGAGTGCCCATAGGCTGTGGAGGGGACAGACCATGCCTACCCTGTGACCTAGACAAAGTATTCTCTTAGACTGTTGAATTAAGAATCTCTTGTCCTGTATGTTACAGATGGAAAAAAAGTGGCCACTGCACCACTCTCTGTGGCTTCCATTTGGGAAGATCATCAGAGGAGTTAATATTTGTTACTACAGAGTGGATTTATTGACTAAGTTTATGAAGTTTGCCAGATACTGAGATGTTTCTGCGTATGCTGAGGATCAGAATTATAAATTCCCAGGGCTATCCCATTTAAAAATGATGCACTTAGTGAGTTTGGATATCTTGGGCACTAATTTCTGAGCACGGTTTTCCAAGTTTGTAGTTTTGGATTTGGGCACCAAAAATAGGTTTACAGCCTATTTTAAAAATCAATTATTTGTTGTTTAGATGTGGCCTCTGTGCTTATTTATGCAACTCTTTCTCTAAAAGAACAATTTGATAGTGAAATCTTTTCAAGTCAGTAAGCTTCTCTTCATAGAGAACTGGATTACTGTGAAAAAGGCTGTAGCATTTTCTTTTTGCCAGAGAATGTTGTCCCCTTGGTACAAGTGCACAAACTTAATGGAATTTTTTTGCTTGTTTTGTTTATTTATGAAAGAATATAATGTGGTTTCAGGGCTTTCATTAAATTCCTATATATATATATTCTAACTGAATATAT